CGACTTTATCTGTCTTTTTGTCAAGCTGTCTCTTTCTCTCACACCGCATGCCCTCCATGCTGAGTGCCAGTTTATTTAGCAAAACACTCCTGCCAAGAATGTATTCGTGGCTGTGAGATATACCCTGATGGCTGCAGGTGATAAGTCCTCTAATGTTTAATCAGAGACCTGGCCATGCCAGCTGGCTCACATGGCTGGAGTTTCGACCACATTGACTAATAATGTGGGTCACTCTGCTACTGTGTTTGTGTTTTACATGCTGTTGGGTTGACCTGAAACACAAGTTTCCTCTTGGTTTTTAGGGTTTACATTTTTTCCAACTGGGTCCTGTGTGGGATTTAGGTTTCTTTTGGACATTTCAGCCTCCAATAAGTTGTTTTACAGAAGGTTCCCTGTGCGCCTGTTTTGTTCCTACACTGTACAGGTTCCTCAAAAATGGCTACCTCGTCGATTCTGGAAGAAAAGAGGAAAGAAGTGCAAAGGAAACTGACTTCAAAAGCATGTAGGAGGCACAGAAAGGCAGAGCGAGGGAGGGAGGGGAGAAAGGGACAGAGACATTTTAACAGGGGAGAGCTAAAGTTAAGACATTTCTTGTAAATTCCTCAGCCACACTTTTATTTTTTTAGGTGTTCTCCTCCTCAACAGGCCAATATTTCCCCTCTCTCCTTCCGATTGTTATCTTGTCTTCACTCACTCTCTCCCTCTCTTTTCGCCTCGCTAAAGAGGAGACCCCCCTACCCCCACCCTCCACCCTCTTTTTTTTTTTTTCTGTCACTCCCCCTTCTCCGGCCTGGTCCAGGAGTATTTTTGGAAGTTAATGAAAAGAGAAATCCGAACCGCTTACCCTTAAAAGGCATGTCTGGGTCAGCTGGGTGGAAACTTGTGTTATTAATGTCCTTAACATTTTCTGTGTGAGAGGGTCATCTGTGATTGTAAGTATGCGTGCGTTCGGTGCTGCGTACAGCGCAGGAATGCTGTGGGTTGGGGGGGGGGGACTAGAATGGAAGGAGGATGGGCCAGCAAGCAGACCTACGTCTTCAGGAAAAGAGGGGGGGTCAGGGGCATATTTGGCATATTTCAGGACCCATTCCAGTCTGGTTCAAGATGCATTCTTCTTCCTAGAGATCTGGCGGAGCAGCCAGACAGACAATGATCAAGGGAGGAGAAGAAAGGTGAACATCACGCTCTACTTCCTATCAGTCTTGTGATGCTGGTGGTGAAAGATGGCACAGAATACATATACTTTGCTTTGATGGAGGAAAAAAAAAAAAAAAAGCCTAACACAGGTTGTAGAAAGATTCAAAAATACCACCTCCTGCCACCTACTTACTGACACAGATGTGTAAACCCCCACCAAGTCTAGAACCTCAATAATATCTATAAAAGGCTAAATGTTGAACCAAAGTCCTTCACCCAGCGGCAGGGTTTGTATGTCTTGGGTTCCATCACTACAATTTAATGAGTGTTTATATCCTGAGAGCTGTAATGGGTCTCTTTCAACCTCTCTTCCGTAGCATTGCAGTTACTGCTTCTGTCCCCTAGAATTTATGATGTCTTAGCCTGTTATTTGCAGTCGGACGGCTACTGACTGACGTGACAGTGGTTGGCAGGAGTTCACTGTAGCTGTACCAGTCCAGTGCTCAGCTGAGGTCGGGTTCACCCTGAGGTCTCGAGTCTGTGTTAAAGGCCCGGTTGGAGTAAAGTGTACAGATCTATTCCTAGCCAGCCAAAGTGTCTATATTTAATACCCCTTTCTTTTTGTTTCATACAATCATGGCTTAATTTTGTATATTGAAAATGCTGATTATAGTTTCTCCAATCAAGATGACACTAAGTCAAACTGATAAGAATTCTTCTACATGGTGGGTGTTTACTGTCTTGTCTCTGGTGCTGCTGTTTCTGGGTGAGGCCCAGAGAGACGACATCAAATGTGCCTGCTGTGTGTCCTGTGCTTTTGATGTGTCTGATGTCTCTTATTTTTTGATCTTAGTAGGGAATTATGGATTAGGGAGTAGGGACCCACCGCAGATGTGACAAATTAAAGGAAGAACCTGAATAAATTAGTGCAGAACAAATGCAGATGCTGCAAATGAATGGTTTGATTAGTGTGGAAATTATTGAAGTCTCTTGTAGTGTTGTTCATTGCGCAAGCTGTTGCATAGACTAATAGAATCTGAGCCAATGAGCCAGTCTGAGCAATGAAACTGTTGTGGCTGCCTGTGGTGGCCCAACACCTTACTTTATTAGTTTTCCCTTTAATTTGTGACCTATTTTTACCCTAACGTGACCACTGGAATTAACATAACATAAAATCCATGCTGGCCACCAATATGAGATGTTTGAGTAGAAAATAGTTTGTCTTTTGACAAACGAATCTATGAAACGAAAATGTTTTGGATTAAAACCCTTCCTTCTTTCTTGGCTTTCTTTCTGACCAGTTGCCAGGCGACTCCAGGAAGTTACCAGTCCAGTCCAAAAGAAAGATGCACTTTGGACTGGTGATTAGTGTGTCAACATCTTCAAAAGTTGCATTCATAAAACCTCTTACAGCGTAGGTGTGCATGTCCTGTGTGTGTGTGTGTGTGTGTGTTGGGTGTGGATGTTTGTTTCGTCTGATCATATGTGAACAGTCGGGTTGAATCCTCACATGACTCTTCCTTTGCAAATTATCTGTTCTAGTGATGCACGGGGGGGTACTTGCCCTCTGCCTTGATTTTATGAGAGATATACACACTCACTCTCACACACTCCTGTCTGACTTGCTCTAATCCTTGGATCTACAGGGCGGCTCTCAAAATAAAATTCCTCCTGCAGATTATTTTTCTTGTGATCAGAAAATATACATGTTCTCAGAGAGGAATGCTCAGACGGCATGGCGACCTGGCGATGGCTCACTTCCCCCTCTTCTGTTTCTCTCGTCCTCGCCTGTTTTGTACTCCGTGCTGTTTCTGCTTAACTTTATTTTTCCAGTTCCTTGACTTTTTTTTTTTTACTTTGTAGACACTTAGGTTAATGAACTTTCAACAAGTTTTTCATCTGACTTTTTTCAGTATACTTATTTTCTGTTTGTCTGGTAAGATGTTTTTCTTCTTTCCCACAGACATCCCTCCCTCTGTTCCTCCATCCATCCATCCAT